GCAATGAGAAATCATCAAATGATTTGGCGTCCTCATTTTTTTTTCTCTTTGTGTATTTTTTGGATGCTAAAGTAATACAGGGAAATGTTTAAATTATGTACATGTATATAGATATACGCACTGCTCAAGCTAGGAATTCTCCCTGGAACAACAATTACCCTTAATTTTTCCCTGGGAGATTCGTGATTTTGGGTCTAATTTGGTCCCCACGTAGTGTATCAATTGAGAAATAATTTTGATATAAACGATAATGCTTAATTTTGTGTTAATTAAGAAAAAGGTGGGACAAGCATATTTTTTGGTAGGACAAGTAATTTTACGATGGTAACCTGTCCGAGGGCAAGTACTGAAAAATTCTATTTGTCTACCCCTGCAAACCCTACCCCTGCTTTAAAAAGTATGCATACAAACATCCGTAGTATTCCGAATAACTTCTCAGAACTCCTCGGATGGATCGTACATCGCACAAGGAGAACATAAACACCTTTTTGTCATTATTTTATTTTAATAATTTACAACTTAATACTTTTTTTCATATTGGGAATTTTTAGGTATAATTTTGGGAAAAACATACACTTTTCAGCATTGGGAATGGGGCCGAATTTCGGCCCCGGAGAGACCCTAAAAAAATCCCTGCATAATAAATATTGAGCACTTCAATTGAATTTAATTTTGAGTTGTCGATCAATACTAAAATTTAGTACTGATCAACAACTCAAAATTAAATTCAATTGAAGTGCTCAGTCTAAATAATTATTTCCTATTTTAACGACAGATGATACGAACTTTTCGTTAAAAAATCACGAACGCGGGAAACAACATTGAAGATTTCTCATAGCAAACTGCCAAAATACACACCTTTAATTACAGGTTACATGTATAATTGGGGCGAAACCACTTGCCGCAAAACCACTGAGAGCGAACATGTAATCGGGGCGAACCCACCCGTTACCATTCAAGTTAACCTAGCCATTTTGCCCAGAAAATTCTACCCCAAACCAGGGAAGGAGGGGTCATGCAGTCCTTGCATACTGGCGCGATTTTTATCATTTGGAAAGAGGCGAATTTTTCTTAAGGCTAACAAAACAGTTCAATTCAGAAACCTGAGAACAAAACGTTCGTTTTCCTTTTGCGAAAGGACTCTGATGCAGCTGTGATGTACCGTTGGGAGAATAAATCCCGATTTCCCCCGAAAAAAAGGGAAAACCATCCATACATTACGTATGTTTTTGTAAAAATAAATCTGTAAAACTAAATAACTTCAAGAATCTTTACCTATAACGGCAAAAACCGCTGCTATTTTATTCTTCCACCTCAAATTCTCTACTAATCAATATGGCGACTTGTGAAACGACTGGTGCATTGTGGGATCTATGCGCGTGGTTCAGATAAGTTTTGAAAAAAGCTATCCGGAACTTGTTGGAAAAGTTCTGTTAATTTCTCCCTTTATTGGCAAATAAGAACTGTGCATATGTTACCTTTACCGATTAAAAAATATATATATACCAGTAATTTTATACACTGTTTTACGATCATCGTAGTTAAATAAATAAAGGTTGGTGAAATATGACTACCTTCAACTAACGTTAATTGTTTCAGGATATGAGTATTTGAAGTCCATGTAAATTTGCGAGAAAAATCATTAGATTTTTATGTTCCCGTAATCGAAGATTCTGGTATATAATGTTTTCTCTGTCTCTCTAGCTGTCTGTCTGTTTGTCCGCAAAAACCTTGCCCATAACTTTTGATTGGTTAGAGCTATGGCTTAAATCATATTCCATATATGTATTCCTTGTGACAAGAGCTTTCTTTTGGTACCAACAGTTTTGGCCTATTGACCGTGAAGTTTAACCCACTTTTGCAAAATTTTACCAAACTTAATCTTTGACATAACTTTTGAACGGTTGGTGCTAGGACTTTTATGCTTCACGAGTGTATTCTTGTGATTTAGACCTTTCCTTTGGTACATCTACAAATATTTTGGACCTTTTGACCTTGACCTTGGAGTTTGTCTCACTTTTAAAAAACTTTAACTTTGGCCATAAGATTTGAATGGTTGGAGCTAGGGCTATCTTATTATCCATGTATATTTCTTGCCCCGGTGACAAGACCTTTCCTTGGGTATCAACAATTTTGACTTTGTCCTTGACCTTAGAGTTTGACCTACTTTTGAAAACTTTAACCTTGGTCATAACTTTTGAATGGTTGGTGCTAGGGCTTTCATATTTCACAGATGTATTTCTTGTGACAAGACCTTTCTTTGGGTATACATTTTTTATCCCTTGACCTTGACCTTGGTGTTTTACTTGCACTTGAAGAAACTTCAATCTTCGCCATGGGCTGTCATACGGGGACATCAGTGTATCACAAACACATCTTGTTCGAATCTAGGTTTTCTGAAATTCAGAAGACGTCTATTGAATATTAACATTTTTTGCGAAATATGTATCCCTTCTACGGTAAAACAACTTTGGCTGTATGAACCTGGAAATTTATATCTGTTTTATTACTTTGAGGTTGTCCTCTGGGAAATCACTCTTTGATTATATGAATCCTGTTTTTATATCCGGTTAATTATATATGTTACTGCCGTCGAAAGGATTTAGGTTTGGAATGTTTGTTTATTTGTTGTTTAACTCCCTTTCGAGAATTTTTCACTCTTATGGAGACGCCACTACTTGCCGGTGGAGAGCTGCAAATTTTGACCTATGCTCGGCACTCAGGGCCATTGAGCAGTGAGGGATCTTTTTTGTGCCAGCACCTCATGCGACTCGGGACCTCAGTTTATACGGTCTCAAAGTCCCACAGTGGTATTCGAACCCGCGACGTAAGGATGAATTTAACTCCTTACTCTACGACTCTAGAGCAGACGCTCTTACCACTGCGCCACGCAGGCGACTAGGTTTGGAATGTGTATTTTCAGACATTGCCCCGGTCAAAACCAACACACACGTATACGCACATTTTCTTAAGAACTTCAGATCTTATTTATTATATTAATTTAAACGACAGGTAGGGGATGTTTACTCCTCCCAGTCACTTGATCCCACTTCTGGAATGTCCAGGGGTCAGTTTCTTATGCCCTGTTCACAGATTTGTATTCTTTGTACTTTTTCCTAAGATCGATAACTATTCGTTATCTTCAGTTTCTAGTATTATGTTGAATATATACATCTGGCCTCAGGACCATAACATGAGAACTCTAGATTTTCAGAATCGGTTTATATTTGGTCTTTGGGTCTGCATTGGCAAAGATATATATATATATGACGTCACAGTAAGAATATTGATTTTGTATTTATGTGTAACTAAGCAATATTTTGTCAAACTCCTGAAGATTGAAAATGAAACCGGTAGAGTTTATTTCGGTGTTGTGATTTTTTTTGATATATATATATATATATATATATATATATATATATATATATATATATATATATATATATATATATATATATATATATATATATATATATATATATATATATATATATACTCAGGTCATCTTATTAGCAATTATAACACCTGTTTAGTTTAAAACTCGAGATTTTTTATGCAGTACTTAAGTATTTGTATAAACATGTAACGAGTGTCCCTCCCTTGCGAAGGGGGGAGGGTAGGTGGTAGGTAGGTATTTTATACTTGTTAAGACGTTTATGACATTTCCTGCTTAGGCACAGCCTATTGCATAATCGTCTACCTGTCTTCCTATTAACAATAAACGTCTATGGCGGGCCTCTTGTCCTAGATAGATAGGAAACCTCGTGTGGTCAAGTTTGTTTATACATGTCGGATCTTTTGTGCGTATACAAATATAAATAGACCTAATTATAAACGATGGCAGCCATTTTTAGGAAAACTGTTTATCCATTGCTTGCAAAAGAAGGTAGTTTTCTATAACTTTTTTAGTTTTCATTTCACAAATCGATGTTTTAGGGAGAATGAATATAATTTTAAAGCTAGTTTTAGGCTTAATTAATATGTCACGAAAACATGCACATTCAGGAATAACTGAAAAATTAAAATTAGAATATTGCTTCATATATGCAATAGCAAAAAAAAAAAAAAAAAATGGTATGTTGTATGTAGTAAAATGGTATGTTGTACGTAATTGAAGACGAAACGCATTTTTTCTAGGTCATCTAGAATATGATTTATCTACGGTATAATATGATGATTTTTACAGATAAAGATAACTCTAAATAATGATGATAATGATGATGTCATACACGAATTTTACTGTTCTTTACCCAGAAATGTTCAATTAAATTGAATTAATTTAAAATTAGAGTTTGCAACAGCCTCATGGGGTTTGTATTCAACTTTTCATTCGAATGGTAGTAAGCTATAAGAATGGTATGTTTAAGACATGAGAATATTTTGTAGGAAAATATTACGTGGTTCACACAACTCATTATGTTGTTTGCACGTATAATTTTCTCTCTTTCTTTTTTCCTTAACAAATTATATTATGGTTGGTAGATATGCTTTTCATATCCAGATTTGAAGAGTGAATTAACGTTATTTTAAGATAAGCAGGGAACACGATATTAAGAAACGAAAATAACATATAAACAAAGAAGTTTTTCTGTTCTCTCGTATCTACTTAGTATATATGTTGTTTTTTTTAAATTATCTACAGGGGAACATGTCTCATTACAGATAATGAGCTTCATTTTATTTATTCTTCAAAATGTCAGAAAAATGTTGTAGACATATGTAAATAGATCTGTTGCTGTTGTTGAAACTTTTAACCGTTTTCAGTACGCGTAATTAACTGTTTATAGTAAAAAGTGTAAAATCAATTTGTGCTTTTAACTTTTGAGGACACACATCACTAATATTCCTGGAATCCAATAAGAAATTTAGTGCAATAATTCCAAGTAAATGCATAGCACTGTCGTCTCAGGCATTTACGGTCTGTGTATATATGCATGCATAGTGGACTAAGTTTTAACAACACTTGAAAACTAAAACAAAAATCTATCTTGACTCCGCAGCACAAACGCCATGTTACGCCAAATTTTCAAAGGGTGTTCGACGCGACTCCTTAGTAGAACCGACTAGACCAAGAATGGTCACCGAAATCCCTGGACCAGAGTCCTTGAACCAGCTGCACCAACTAGACCAAATTCAGGTGTGTAGAGACCTACACTGGATCATTGAACTCATTAACATCAAAAATAGATACGAGTATTTAATTTAACCGAATGCTGAAACCGAACAAACGGTAGATTAAAAACTCAAAAAGTTTAAAATACAAAAATAGTTTTTGGAAATTTGAATTTTGAATATTTAAGGTAAAAATATAAAGATGTCATTTTGACGAAAAGGTAAATTTTACTGGACGATCAAGCTTTTATGTGGGATGAAATCTGTTTGTAATCCCTTTCATACCAGATTGTATAAATTCTTTTTAAATGCTGCTGTCCTTGTTCTGGCACGCCTTGTTTTGTTTCCTTTTATGGCTTGTCGAGATCATCATTATATTTCAATTAACATAATATAAATTTTACAACTTTAATAATTACCCAAATTTTGCCTCCTCTCCACAGTGTATGTTTGTACATTTATATGAGAATAAAATCATTGTCATTGAGAAGAAAATTGTACAATCATGCATGACAAGTATTCATCTCTTCGAAAATTTAATATATGCAAAGTCAAGGGCCATGTCACCTATTAATGAAAACCTGATCTATGAGTGAGTTGACAAAAAAACTTTACTTGATAGAACACAGATGCGGTAGCGTTTTTCGCAGACTACGATAAAAGTTGTGGAAATTACATCGTGGACGCAGACGATAATGTGATGCTGGACTTGTTCACCCAAATGGCGTCCATTCCTATTGGTAAATATTATAAATATGGAAATATTATAAATATGAAAATTCATACTAAACTTACTTGAATAACAACCAAATAAAACTACTATGCTTTTAACACTATTTTCTGCACCAGAATTGTTTTTCTTTAGGATATAATCACCCGAAACTGACAGAGGCGATAAGCAAAAAGGAAAACTGGGTACATACATTAATACTCTCTCTCTCTCTCTCTCGCATCATTGGCATTCTAATAATTAATTAAACGAAATGAAATTGTGTAAGTTCTCACCCTGAAGACAAGTTAGCATACTCCAATTCTCAGTTTTATCTTATGCTACAATTATTATAACAATTCAAAATCTTGCATTACAATAGTTATTAAATAGTTGACCACTATTCCAGATATGACTCTCATAAATGTAAAAGAGAACAAAATCGTCGTCAATGAGCGCTAACTTAATATGCATTCAAAAATTTCACTATTTACATGTACTTGAGTATGCACTTGAAACAATTTTATCACACGTGATCCTTGATGTACCTGGTACTAAATGATATTGGTTTCCTGTAGAGTACTTTCATCAATCGACCTTCACTGGGAATTTTCCCCCCAGACAACTGGAACCAACTCCTCAAAGAGGATCTCTTATCGGTAGGTGTTTGTAATCTTATGTTAACTTTGAAATGAATCTATCTAAGATGGATCCATAAGATGGTACATGTAAATAAAATTTTTGCTCGTTAAAGATTCTTGCTACTTTTTATTCATTAAATTCTGGCTATATTTCCACACAAAAGATATCGAATTAAAACTGAAGTTTGTTTAACTGTAGGTTGCCCCTTTGGGTATGAAACAAGTCCAGACCATGTCTTGTGGTTCCTGTACAATAGAAAACGGACTAAAGGCCATGTTTATAGCCCACGAGGTATGCTCGGTTACTAAAAATATAACTAAAATCGAGTGATTGGTCCTTTAGACATACAATATTTTAAATTTCATAACAATCTCTCATGCAACTTTTCTTTTGACAACTTTCAGATTCGTACTCTTACACAAATTCCATATGACACTATATTTAGATGATTTTGAGCCATGGAAATGGTAGTGTTTGATTAGTTTCCTTTTTTTCTGCAGAGAAGAAGGAGAGGCGGGGCGCCACCAACACCGGAAGAAATGTCCTCTTGTATGTGTAACTTGCCACCAGGTAGCGCTGATATCACCATTCTGTCCTTTACAGGAGCATCACACGGCTGGACACTGGGTATATTCTATTGCATCTTTTCATCCCAGCTTATTTATTTCTCGTTGTCGTCTATTCACTCTGTCTTATTCATCGAGAAATCAATTGTAAGTTTGTAACCAAATTCAAATAAAGGGGCATACGATTTCTCATATGATTTCTTTCGTTTGAGGAACGAATTAGACAGAAATCATTTTCTTCTTGGTGTTATAATAAATTACTTGCTCGGAATTACAAGGTTTTCATTCGAATACCTGGTTAATATTACGTGGTTCCTTAGAACCTGTTAAATGCCAGTTTAGGACGACTCGTAGAGCAGGATAAATTTTTTAAATTTTATCTATATTTATTCAATCCAACATTACGATATACATGTATATAATTATGGATTATTCATATTTTACATATGTTATACGTACATTGTACAGTAAAGCTGCTACGTGTCGTTGCTATGTCCAAATAGTGTGTTGTTGTTTATTGTACTTTCATTTGAAAGTAATGAATGGATTTAAAGTAGAAAAATAGAATGTCTCGCCAGCCCCCTTTTAAATTGAGAAAATTAATAAATAGTAAAAATTGTTACCTAGAGTGAAAGGAATGTTAAAGATTTTGAAGGTTGTTTAAAATGATTAATCACAAAATAATTTGCTTTCATAAAGAGTGAAGAAATATTTTACTATTGCACTAAGATTCCCTGAGTATCTTCTATTCGTGTTTATCATCATTTGGCGGTTACAGGTGCGCTTGCGGCAAGTCACGCTAACTGGATGCAGAAGTTGGATCTGAGAACCATGAAGTGGCCAGTGGCGACTTTTCCCTCACTGAAATATCCTCTGGAGGAATACGAGACGGAAAACAGAATGGAAGAGGAGCGTTCATTGAGTGAGGTCAAACTTTAAGGCCCTCTCTTTCTGTCTTATAAACATGTATGTTGGCCACCGTTTTTTTTATTCCCCTCACACAAAATTGGAAGGGATACGGTAAAGCGCTTTTGTGTGTGTGGGTGAGTGAGTGAGTGCGTGCGTAACGGAAGTAATAATTTATATCGGGATCAATGTGCTCTTTTCCGAGGGATGCCCTGCCTTGCGAAACCATTGTACTTGTAACGACCCTCCCTCCATCAATACATAGTGACATCATTTCTATATGTTTATATTGACCCCTACATTTTCCCGGGGGTGGGGGGTTAAGGTTTGAGGCACCTTCTGTCTCGGTCGGAATACTAGTACTTTCGTAGCGATCAGAACTGAAGGAAACCGTAATAAATCCAGGGTTTCTGATAAATACGTTATTTACCTCACGTTTTTAAGATGTAATAAAATTGTTTTATCAACAATCACAACTACAGTGTATTGCCTACGCAAGTAAGGGAAATGATCAGTCAATAACGTTAACATTTGATAGAAATATTTATTTTTGCTCATCTATAGCAAAATACGTTTTTTCCCAAACTCCTGATGAATTGATTGAACAGACTAAAGGTGAAATGAAGCTGACTTTGTTTGGCAGGTAGCAGATAAAATAGAGCAGTACAAGAAAAATGGCCGCCCTGTTGCCGGGTGTTGTATAGAACCTGTGCAGTCAGCAGGGGGAGATAACCACGCCAGCCCGTGGTTTTTCCGGGAACTCCAGAAAATTTGTAAACATGTATGACCAAAACTATATGATTCGTGATTGTAAAATTTATATCCCGAGTCTTAATTGGCCATTTAAAGGAAATTTTTGTTTATCCAGACTTTATCATAATTAACATAAATTTGTTTATGACACTTTCTATTAATTTTTTTTATTGGTTTTACCAGAATAGTGTAGCTTTGTTGATGGACGAAATCCAGACAGGGTGTGGATCGACAGGAAAGTTTTGGGCTCACGAACATTTTGAATTACCCGAGCCCCCGGACCTCATGGCCTTTGGTAAAAAGATGCTTGCGGGAGGGTTTTATTACCGGGAGGAAATGAGGCCACTGGAGGTAACTAAGGAATAGATATTTCATTTAGAAATCGGAGATTAATTTTGGTGAAGCATACACATCGAGGCAGCATAAAATCCACTGGGATTTTTTTTTTAAAAGTGTTGAGGTATACGTGTGCAAAAGTAAGTGTTGGTAGCCTTCAAACAGCAGAATTTTGCAGATCATAAAGGACAACAGTGTATAGAATAAACCATATCACTTGAATGTGCTTTTCATATATTTCTTTGCAGCCTTTTAGAATTTTCAACACTTGGGTAGGTGACTCCTCTAAGATTGTGTTGTTGAGGGCTGTTTTAGACATGATCAAGGAGGATAACCTGCTAGCTCTCGTGTCTGACACGGGGACACACCTCCTTAAGGGACTAAGGGATATTGAAGTAAGGATAAAAAGTTCAAATATTGAAGTGTCACTGCTGAAAAGTGGCAGATTTTCAGGCATTTTTTGTTTTAAAGGAAAATATCATCTATACAGGCATTTAAGTTTACATGGGTAACATATCAGTAATTACAATGTATACAAGTCATTTAATTATTATAGCAGCCTATAGTGAAATTTAATTTTCTTTTCTGACTTGTATGGTATAATGGAAAGTTGTTTTTTTCCAGCGAAAATATCCTTGCTACATCAGTAATGCCCGTGGCCTTGGAACACTGTGTGCTTTGGATTTTCCAAACAATACTGAAAGAGATAAAATTATTCATGGTCTACGAAATAGGGGTAAATAGTTACATATAAAACGTAAGCTAAATTATTTGTCTTATATTGACATCTGAAAGTCAAAAGAGCTCAGTTTGGAACCCCTAACCCCCCAATACATACTCCTATATTATGTGGTTTCAGTATATTCAGTGTATAGAATGATCTTTTTTAATTGCAGCTGCATGTTTTCAAAATGCAGTTTTAAAGGAATTTTTTCAAAAATTTTTTTCATAAATTTGGATCTCTAAAATATTTATATATGTGTACAAATTATCTTTTTTTCCATTAAATAAATGCAGGTGTAAACACCGGCCCCAGTGGGGACAGGTCCATCAGACTTCGACCTTCCTTGACCTTTACAAAGAGCCATGCTGACATTTTCTTGGAGATATTTGAATCAACAATAGAAAACAAAATGGCATGATTAAAAATATTCCCTTGATCGGTTTACTCAAAGCAACTTTTTGGTCGAAAGTCTATAATACAGATGCCCTCAGACTATGCAAAGTGTCAAAGTGCAATAAATATGTTATATAAAGGAAAGGATGATTGCCGCATAAGAATTATTTTAAAAGTATATGCTATGGCAGCTTTTCAGATAGGAACGAATATTCAATAAAACAAATTTAAGCTCGTTTTCGTTTTTCTTCTATTTATTGAAGATTATATCAAGGAAGCCATTCTTTTTGACCGGACCCCGGTCAAGAGGGAATATGCTTACTCCTCCCAGATCCTGAACCCACCCCTGGAATTTCCGAGGGTCCGTGTTTATGCCCTGTTCACGTATTTGTATTGTTTGTTGATTTTTTTGAGATCGATTGTTATCTCCATCTTTTTCATCATAAAGGCTTAAGCTAGAGTCTATAATTCTCAGAACAATATGGAGATTAAGGTAATTGTTACTGTCAGTCAAAGAACCGTTTGTAACCGACTACACATCACCATATTTCTCAGTAGTTCAGGGGGTCGTTTTACAAAATAACTTACGACTAAGACCAACAACGTTAACTGATTGTAAAAATTTGCAAAATTAAAGATATTGTTTAAAATTGCCATCGTAAAAATATCCTACTACATTGCTTTAAAAAAAGATTAAAACCATTTTCAATACAATGTAAATTAATAAGAAAGTTATAAACAGAATTTAATTTTGGTCTTAGTCGTAAGTTCTTTTGTTAAACGGGCCCCTGGACATCAAGCTGTACTGCATCTATGTTTTACAACATTAGAGCGAAGTTTTACAACCCTGAGCAAGCGACATTTCCGGTTTGGAATATACTGTACGTGTAAAAAAAAAATGGCCTATTCAAAATTTAGCACAATCACTGGGTATGGAGTCAATGGCGTAATCATGAATTAGCGCTACACATGTCCGTGCCATGTGTTGTATTTATAAATGATTTCTTAGCGGTATTCGTGAATTAGTGCACAAAAATTTGAAGCCCGCTTTTTTAAGTACACATACAGTAGTTCATACTGAACACAGACATTTAGATCGCTTTGCTTTAATGCGACTGACAAAATATTAAAGGTGTGGAACTTTTCATGAAATACATGGATATAACGAACAGTATTCAAGCTTAAAAGTGCATTTAGCAATACAAAATAGGAGCAGAGCAATCACGGACCTCCAAAACATCAGAGGTGGGATCAGGTGCCATGGAGGATTGAGCATCCCCTGCCGACCCCTGCCGTGTGCTCCTTGTCATGATCGGGAAATAACGGAAAAATACGTCGACAATTCAGTGTGTAAATAATGGCCTAACAATTAGTATGAAAAACGTCAGTCAGCATTTGACTCAATGATAAATTGTATTTGCTGACAAGGTCATTGTATCGACCATAGAACTTACGAAATGATGACTTTAAACGAGACTGCAGATATTCTTGTTTCATCAACTTGTTTGTCAATAATTTACCTCGTTTTAGAAATTGTACATACGTAGAGCATGCTCTTGCGTATCGAATCAACCGAGAGATATAAACCCCGTATGCAGGTGATGAAGGTATATTGCTGCATAAGTAAGGGAAGTTGACGATTGAAAAGTTAAAGTCATCACGTTTATCATAAAGCTTGGTTGTTAGTTTACCATTAACGTCTTTTTCAAGTAAAATATCCAAATATGAAACATATGTGTCAGACTCTGTGGTATCTTTTATCTCAAGCTAACAAGGACATATCGTATCGACATAAGAATGGAAATAACCATTGTTAATTGACAATACGTCGTCGATATATCTAAATGTCGAGTTGAAGGCCACAGCAAGTGTTTTCTTTTCACGAATAAGATTTTGGACAAATTTTGCTTCATGTGAATACAAAAAAGGTCTGCTAATAACGGGGCGCAATTGGTACCCATGGGAATTCCAATAGATTGTTGGAAGACCTGGTCTCCATAAACCACATAGATATTGTCAGTCAGAAACTCAAGCATCTTTATAATGTCAACTTCAGAGTACTTGTGTGTACAATCAGAATGTTTTTTAACAAAATAATTTTGCAATATTAATGACCAAGGACAAGGTAAGTAAATTTACGAGTTCCATTTTTATTGAAAAAGCAGCTGTCAATGATATCAAAAAGCCTGGACTTTAATTTATCGTGGGCAATAGTTGTGTATAAAGTTGAAAAGTCATATGTTTTTCGCCGATGTATACTGATAAAGCAAATGATTTAAAATCATACTTTCTTTTCATATATTTCCATGTAAACAGTCTACATTATTACAGACTTGCCTGAACATGGATCTGGACGTCCAGAACATGAATTTTGTGATTTTGAAATAAGTGGATGTTTTTGATCAGATAAGCATACTTGATTCCTCTAAACCATGTGGACCAGATGGGTTTTCTCACAGAATGCTAAAGGAAACCCACTATTCCGTATATAAATCATTATGTAAATTATACAACCTATCACAAATAAAGTTCTTGCATACAAGTGAAAACAGGCGCATATTGCACCTATTTTTAAAAAGAAAATAAGGGCTGCTCCCAACAGCCTAATAATTACAGACCAATATCATTGACTATAGTTCTATAATTACGTAAACTGATGAAAAAATACTTTTTTTAAACCACATTAAGGGTCATGGTTTATTGTCTAAGTACCAATCTGGCTTCCAACCTGGGGAAAAGCGACGAAAGGTCGAAAGGTAGATGTTACGTTTAGTATCAAAAATTTATTGGTTAATGGGATCTCGGGCTAATTGAGAGTAAAATTCACTCAACTGTATCTTATCTCTATGTAGTCACCTTTTTGATGCATCATAATTTCATATCACACGAAAGAATTTTGATGTTTTTTGCTGGCTGAACACCTAAGCTCAATAAATTGGTGCAATTCAAGATATATTTCTTCTTTAAAAAATTCGACTTTTGATTAGCCATCTGCTAATAACATTTTCGGGTAGATCAACATATCAGCTTTGTATTACCAAAGATTTTTCAAGTTAAGTTCATTGGTTAAGAAATTACATCAATTTGGAATAAAGGTGTATTGTTGATCACTTCTTGTTGTAAAACAAGCGTTATATATCATATTATAATAGTTTTCCTTTAAGATTTTAGAATGAAATAATATATATTGTAATATATCCTCAATGCCAAAAGTAAGTCAGTCTATGTACTTTTGTGATGACAAAAAAGGTCAACTGTCATAATTTATTTTATTTATTTTATGAACTGATGCAGTCAAATTATTGTATCATTGTTTTCTTCAATGAATTTGACGTGTCTCTAAAATTTTATATCTAAAATATGCCACAAGAAAAATCACAACTTTCCAGTGCAAATGGGGGTTCTAAATAAATAGAGGATGTATTTATAGAAACATTGTACAAAATGTTGTTCATGAATTGTGATCTTATCCTTATATATACTTTTCAAATGCAACAACGTTCGTTTGTAACGAATGTTTCATGAGAAATAATATTTACTATTTTTAAGATTAATTCCAACGAAGTGGACCAATTCATGCAATTTCTGTTCTGTTTGTGCCGTGGTATTGAAAATGTCAAAATAAAACAAAATTTGAACTGCATCATATTTATCATCGTGTCATATTTTCCTTGAGCTGTGCTATATGTAATATATGTAAAATTGTCTGTATAGACGTTTTAATGGAACCTTAAATAATGCAGACAACAGTTTTTTTGATGACATTTAGCTTGAAATCAATTAACCATCAGTGGAAACTTCCTTCGTATTTCTGCTCGGGTCAGTGCCATAGTACAACTAAAACTAAATGCTGAAACGTACGTTACTTAACATAAAATGAGAGTTTAACAGTATAAAAATTATAGGGGAGAAACAAAAAACCTGTTGTAGATTCAGAACAGAAAATCAAGCCTATGTTTACTCAATATCATATGATTCAAACTAAAAGTGTCTTTCAAAATAATTTCAATTAGTGTTTTTCTTCAGAATTATTGCATGTAACCCAATATACCTTAATCTATCTTGAAAAGACACATTAAAAACGACGACAAAGGAAATCAAATTACTTTGCTTAATCAATTATTTGACCTTTCTGCACTTACAATATGTCATTTTTGGCATTCAAATTGAACAAACAAGAAAACCATTTTAAAATCTTAAACTTTTTTGAATCTAAGCAGAATGATGAAAGGTATCTTATATATTCAGAAAAGAAAAAAAAGTGGGGATTCATGTTGTAAATTTTTAAATATTACTGAGAATGTGTTAAATTTAAGTTGAAATTGGTCCATTTTCCCCTGGACTTTCAGAATATATTTGCTATATTAGTCACAATATGATGATAGAATTTATAAAAGTTAATTGAATTAATAAATCGCTGGACCAGTATAAATCATTTTACTGCAAAAATAAATCGGTGTGCAGCCTGCATGGAAAAATAAGAATCCAAACTTAACCGTACTGTACTTAAAGACCAAAAAAATTGACCATTTTCTTCTAAACAACCTTCCGCCACGAAATATTTCCCTTCATTTAAAGCTTTTTGTATGGATATAGCTTAACTTGCATTGTAGAATCTAAATTTAATGTAAGAACTAAAATATGATTCAGAATTCTAGAAATAAAATTCCACACAAAAATCTGCCCCAAAGCTCAGGATCGAACCTCTTTAAGGCAAGAGGACCAAGTTTCAAAGTTCTGTATCTTTTTTGTACACATCCTATCTTGAAAAAATAACAAGAAGATTTTCTAAAGCATGATATAAGGTTATATATTTAGTAAAATAAAAACAGAAACAAATCTTTGACGAACTATAGTTTATTCTGTAAACAATTTATTAGTATTCATTATTAGGTTATACAGGAAGTGTGACGTACTGTCTTAATTTATAAGGAATCCATTGAAATTAGAATGAAAATTCCCTGCAATGTACGGAAAGCCACGAGGCCAATTTTCTACCTTGATATTTACTTTATCTCCTTTTTTCATGTCTAACAGAATGTTTTCGGATTTTTTGGTCCACATTCCTTCAGTTTCAATAAATAAATATCCAAC